CTGTAACACTTGACCTTAACTTTTAGAAAGTGTTCATTTTTTAACTGCAACTGGAAAGGTTGAAAAGTCAGGACTCTTGTATTTGTGAACTGTAATCTGAAGCAGATTTTAAAAAGTGTAGGAAGAAACAAATTGTCCTTTTTTGTACAGGTCTGTGATACCATGTTTTGGCTTTGTGTAAGTAATTTGAATATCCAAAGGGTTGTGATGATCAGTTCTTGATATGCAACTGTCCACTTAATAAGGACAAGTGTTCCAGTGTCTCTTATGACTGGGGTCATAAATGATGTTGGAATTTACCATTTTGTGAAATAGTTGGTATCCCTTTACTACTATAATTAATTTTTGTCATTCCAGGAACTCTTTGTGAAGCCAGCCAATTAATAAAGCACTTTAGCATCTGTTCAGGTAGTTTTGAAAACCAATTTTTCCCCTTCAGGATAAGAACTTCCAGGTTACCTAAAAATGCAATAAAAATCTTTATAGTCTAAGCTTCTTGGCACATAATTTTTCATCAGGGTTTTCTTTTATTAAATGAGCACAATACTATTTTGATGTTTTTGTTTTTTTCCCTCAACCACCCAGCCCCTTGTATAGTTTTTAATTGTATAGCTGTGTGAAAGAAGTGGCTGCACACACTTGAACTGTTGGGTCAGTAGCTTTGTGTTACTGCCCTGACCCCAGTGTAATTCAGGGGGAAAGGTACTTTTTATCTTACAGGGATATGTAGCTATGTATTTTACTAATTGTGAAACACTGGAAATTAATGATGCAGACAACTTGGTGTGGTCTTTGAACAGCTCTCTGCAGTATTTTTTTCTGTTACCATAAATTGTATTTAAGTGCTTGCTCTCCACTGCTTTTAAGTTGTATGAATAAACTGGTAACCCTCAGCCCTCCCTTCCCATTTGACACTCCTTAGCTTAGATTGCTGTAGTTTTAGTTATCCCTGTAATGTGACTTTTAAGTCATGGTGTACTGCATTTGTTTGTCACTAGTTGGGCATGTGTCAATAATATTCTGTCCATTCCTTAACTGCCATCTCTGTTTTGCCTGATTTTTTCTCTTCAACTGAATCACGGCTCTTTGCATGAAAAAAAAAAAAAATAGTTTTTATTATTAGACATGTAAAGGGAAGAAAGAGTGAATGTATTGGACTTTGTAAGCCTAAAAGGACTATTTGGATCCCTCTAATAAAAAAGGGCTATGTACTATATAGAAAAATCATGTGGTGGAAGATACTTTCAAGTCATAGGTTTGTAGGAAGGAGGATCTGTTACTCCCTGTATCTAGGCTGAATGTAAAATCCCTTATGTTGTACTACTGGGGGTAATAACTATTTTTATTTGCCTATGATATATACTTGGTTTCTAATAAAGTGTCCTAGGGTGTAGTGAGAACTGTCTACTTTTAATTGCCAGTCACTCCCTTTCTTCATTTGCTTGATATGCTCTTGGCTAGCTTTTTATAGGTTAATGCTTTTTCCTGAAAAATCTCACCACTTTAAATGTGTTCCTTTGGGTGTGATCCTAAAAAGCCTGGATCAAGAGCACATCTAATATGCAACCTGCATCAGCTCCTACTCTGGATGTCTAGAACTGTTGGAAGATTTTGACGTCTTAAACCTTGCATTTTGCTTTTGAACCAAGGTTTGAAATATTGTTAATTGCATTAAGATTTGTGTGTTTTGCTTTGTAAGCCCAGCACCAGGTTTTGGGAAATGCCTGCATTGTGAAAGCAAATCTGAACTCTTTCTGAGCCTCTTTCATTGTCAGAAATAGAATTGCTTTCCATCAGCCTCCAGAAAATTGTGTATCTGGAGTCGAAGAGACTTAACAGCAAGAATCCAGATTTTTAAATGTGATTGTTTTTTAAATGCTAATATTTGTAAAGCACCTTCAGTTCTTTGGATGAAAGGTGCTATATTCTCTCAGTGTAAATTAATAAAAAGATTAGGAAGTTTGTCAAAAATGTTATCTAGTGCATAGTCTCTAGTATGTCCCGACAAGAAGTTAGCATTTTATATAACACGATTTAAATTAAAAAATGCTTATACCTTCACTTGGTTACTTGACTAGTAAACAGAAGTGAAACTTTTTCTTGTTCTGCATTTGACTCTGAGCTAAGTCTTCCAGTTCTTTAAAGGCAATGTTCATTGTTGTGTCCTGGATCCAGTGCCCAGAACCATGCTTCAGGAGATTGTCACAGCTCTTTCAACTGAGTCTTTTACAGTGTGTGGTCATGCTGACAAAATATATGGTCATAAAAAACCAAAAAGAAGCATTTGGAAAGTCCCCTAGCATGATGCCAAACACAGTAGATGCTTGGGGGAAGATTGGTTCCTTATTCTCCTCTGATTAGTTTTCTATTTCCTTGTCAGTCACTTGGTGGATGTGTGCCTTTCTTACCCTCATGTGAGTTAAGCTTATGCTGGCTTGGATCATTCAAATGTTTTCTTAATTCAAAAATGCATGAAATTTATGAAGATTTTTTTTTGTGTGTCAACAAAATTACTTGTTACATAAGTATATTCCACTCAATCCCTGGGCACCCACTATTTTTCTCACCACTCTGCTTTTGTGTATAAATGTTAATGGGATATAAAAGGTTGCATGGAGGCATTATGGAATAGTGGAAGAATATAGGCTTTGGGATCAAAGCCTTTGGGAAAAAACCTAGCTCTGCCAGGCAGTAATAGCAGTTAACCTGTGTTGAACACACTTAGCTAAATGCTGTCCATGCCCTATTTTGTGGTACCCTTACTATGGCTCTATGAATATATTACCTCTTTTCTTTTTTTTCCTTCAGATGAGGAAACAGGCTTAGAGAGGATAGGTAACTTGCCCAAGGTTGCACAGGAGAGCTGGAACATGAACCCCTGTAGGGCATGCTAGACTACATCTTAAGCCATCTTAAGCAATATTGGTTATTGTAGCTGTGTGACCCTGAGCAAGTTGGGTTCTCTGAATCTTAAAATTCTGTGTTTAAAATGAGAATACCATACAGGTTGATATCAGGGTTAAAAATAGCACACAAAGTGCCCAGTCCCTGGCCCAAAGCTGCCATTTATTAAGTGCCCCCTTTCATATACCATTGGCCCAAATTCATTGTAGTTAGGAAGTAAGATAATCCAAAGCAATATATAATTGCTGACATACGGAACGTACAACAGATTTGGAGAAGGAAATGTTGGATGTAGGATGGAGTAATTGGGGAGGGCTTAAAAGAGGAACTGTGAATTAAACGTGGACTGGAATGATGGGATGTGCGTTTCTTATATAGTAAAAGGACAGAAGCAGAGATTACTAGAACTTGGACCTAACACGAAGATGTGACTTGAGGGTACTTCCTGGGAAGGCACAAGAAATGAATACCTGCAGCTCTGTTGACAGTATCTACCATGTCTCTGAGAGACGCTGGCCAAAAATGATAGACCTTGAAAACCAGGCAGAGGATTTTAATCCATATTTTAAGAAACGTAATGAGTGATGTTTCGCCATTAGTCTGCTAGTGAGTTGCTCTTCCCCACCAGGACTCCTACCCCAACTCCCCCAGTATTGTCTGATATTATTCAGAAGTTCTTTTTTCTGTCTGGCTTGGTGATTATAAGGGGGGATACTGCTGATTGGGATTGAAGTGGTTTGTGGTTCTGTGATTTTCAGATTACATAAAATATTAATTTGGGAAACCAACAGATGTTTGACAACATTTTTTTCCTTGTCAAAGCCATTTAAAAAATCTCACTACTATCATTATTTCATAAAAGGAAGAGCATTTTTAACATCAAAGATGTAAAAAGAGCCATCTCAGAATAAAGGACAGCCCTTTACACCAAATAAACTTGGTTTTGTGAAAAACTATTGTATCCTCATTTTTGCCATTTGCGAAGATTGGTGAGAGATTTGTCCTCAACCTGTCAGTGTGTACCACTGTAAGCTGTCACATTATTGCTGCATAAAAATGTGTTCTAATAAAATCGGAGTAGCATAAGAGAAAGTTATATGCCTTCTCCCAGCTCCAAATATCTGCCAAGGATTTATCAAACAAAAACTGTACACAAGGAATCTAGAGAGGCTGAAGAGGATACCACATTAAAGGAAGAATTTTATACTATGTTAATGAGCCATGTCTTATTTTCAAGGATGTCCTTGTCAAAGTAGAAGAGGAAAGGTAACTGATATTGTGCGTATGTGTTGGTAGTCTTGCATGCTTAGGTCTGTCAACAAAGATGCAGTGAAATTTAATTGATTAACTCGCGTAGAACTTAGAATCATCTGCAGTATCATAGAACGGTTAGCACACACGGGCATCAGTTCTATTCGGGCCTTTCAAAATAGAACACATTGCGTTTAGTTAAAACATCAATTGTATTTGCGGTGTTGATTTTTCTTTCATGGTAATTTTTAAAATCCCGTGCTTTCTTAGAAGCCTGCACTCAGGCTTGTGATCTTTTCTGCAGAGGACTGAGCATCTAAACCACGCTTTATTTTGGTAGATTCTTACAGTTTTCTGGCTGGATCCTTTAAGAGTATCTGTGAGACCATTTCAGTATGATGTAGAGAGAGGGACCGCAGGTGGTTCAAAACGAAGCTCGTTTTGGAGAGTTGCCGCAACTGTCGCACCTGCCAGAGGAGTTTGGGAAACTGCAGTGCTTGGCTTTTGGTCCTGGCGTGGTGCAGCGTTGGGGCTGCCAGCAGGTGTGTGGGATGCACGACGCAGAGCGAGCGGAACCTGCCGGCAGGTGTCTGGCGCCGGAGATGCAGTTTCTATTTTCCGGCGCACGGTGGCGCTTAAGTCTCCCCGGCCCAGCTAGCAGTCTCTAAGGCACCTCCGCTGCCACCTGCAGTCTCAACCAAACCTAGGTGGCGGGATGTGACGGCCCGAGCGTCCAATCGACCTCCAGGCTTTCGGCCACGCTAAGGCTCTAGCCAATGGGAGCCCAGGAGAGGCGCGGAGGAGGCGGGCCCCGCGGCAAGCCTTGCAGAGGCGCGAGGCCCTCCTCCCGCCCCTCCGCCTACTCCAGCCTCCGCCGCCTCAGCTTCCCGAGCGAGCCCTGCGGCCGCCGGAGCAGCTCCCGCGGCGGAGCAGGAGCCGGATGGTCAGAGGAGCCCGGCAGCCCCAGCAGCCGCGGAGTCGCCTGGCCCCCAGGTGGGGCGCGGGCTGAGTGGGCGTCGGGGTTCGCGGTGGGGCGGGGGCGCGGGAGCGGGCCCAGGGGCAGGGGCTTGGGGCCGCGGAGCATTCGGGGTGCCGAGACTGGAGGGGCGGGGGATTCAGACTGGGGGGGATTCGGGGGGCGCCTAGGGGCGGGGGAGCGAGCGGGGCGGCGATAGCATCTCGAGGCCGGGTGAGAGGGGCGTGTGAGGGAAGGGGCGCCCAGGGGTGAGGCTGGGGGCGCTGGGCCGGGAGGGGCAGGGCGCGCGCGCCCCGTGGAGGGGCCGTGGAATGCGGGGGGCGCGGGGCCTGGAGGGGCGGGGCTCGGAGCGGGTGGGCACAGGAAAGGGGAGGCCGGAGGGGCTTGCGGGGGTGACGAGGCAGACAATGAGTAGGTGGTGGGGGGTGGTTTTGGGGAGCTGGGCTGTGACTAATAGGAGCTGAGGATGGAGTGAGAGACCAGGAGGCAGAGCAGGGTTTGGGCTAAGCAGACATTAGGGGAACAGTAAGTCCCAGGATTGCTTGGTCTTGGTAAATAGGGGAAACGGCATAAGGCGTTTGTAAGGTCAGGTATGGACTTAGCCAGGTTGTAGTTCTAGAGGGTGGTATGAGGTTTTGACTGGCACAGTGGGCCCGGAGATGTGTTCTTGTGTGTTACTTTTAGTTACCATCTTATCTGTTTGGTCTGTAGACTGACGGGCACAGTGGAGAAACCACCTCGAAAACGGAAAAGCAGGTAAGGCAAAATGCCTTCCTCTTTTGCTTCGTGTTTTTCCATTTGCTTGGCTACACCTATGCCATACTGCATAATTATACACTGTCACTAGGTGAAATTTTTTGTTTAGCTCCTTTCGTAATGAATATAACTATCTGCAAGATCTTTCGTTTGAGGACTTCAGAGTATCACCTGTACACTTCTTTTTTTTTTTTGGTATATAAGATTATATGGGAAAGAGACATGGATAATTGAGAAATCCTACTTTTTACTTGAGCCGTAATTTCAGCTTCTTTTCCACCAGCTCTGTTTAAAAAGCTAATGTTTATTGAACATCTACTATGTGCCAGGTACTATATGCAGGTGCTTTATGTGTATTATCTTCTCTAATCCTCTAAGCACCCCAAGGAGGTGTGTACCGTTATCACTCTTTTGCAGAAGTGGGAGCTGAGGCAGAGAGGTCAAGTATTTACCCAGGATCACATCTAATAAATGATTGATTTATTTAAAAAAATTATGATCTATTATTGAATGGATTATCCATTATTGAAAAAAATGGATTTGAATCCAGGCAGTCTGACTCCAGAGCTTAAGCTCTTAACCATTATACTATAATGCCTCTAATAAATATAAAATTGAAAATAGGTTTTCTTACTGCTGTTTCTTTTTTTGTTGTACACCGATTCTAATAAACAGTTGAGCCACAGGAGAAGAGAAACAAGGGGCTTACGTAGTCTGCAAACAAATGAATTATTCCTTGAGTAATGAAGAAGAACATATATCCGTTCCACAAACGTTTTTGAGCACATTCCAATTACTATGCTACTGCATAGCACTTCTGTGTAGTCATTAGAGGATTCCTTTTTCACAGAGGTAGGCACTGGCCTAGGGAAAGTAAGCTACAGTTGTGAGGATGTGACCAGTAGGACTGCAGTCGTAGTTAATATTTGGTAAGTTATCCACGTTAGTACACAGAAAACGTCAACAGTAGGTAGATATGAAATGCTGATGTTGGAAATGCTAACAGCCAAAGTTCTTTGTCACTCTTGAGGCATGTACCGTCCAATATGGTAGCCATATATGGCTGTCTAGCACTCGAAATGTGGCTAGCATGACCGAGGAACTGAATTTTTAATATTCTTAATTGTAATTAATTTAAATTTAAAAACTGATACTTGACTCATTGGAAAATGTGTAAGTAGGTTTGGAACAACTTGGGTGTGTGAATCTACTTTTTCATCTGTAAATTTTATTTATCTAAATACAGATCCAATATTACCAATGAAAATTTAATGTCCAAAATGAAGTGTACTCTAAGTATAAAATACACACCAGATTTCAGGTTAACACAAAAAATGAATGTAAAATTTCTCATTACTAATTTTTATATTGATTACATGGTAAAATAATATTTTAGATATATTGAATTGAATAAAAGTATTACTAAAATTATTTTCACTTTTTTCTTTTTACTTTTTCTAACAGCTACTAGAAAATTAAAAATTACATATATGGCTTGCATTATATTTCTTTCCAACAGCCCTTCTTTAATTGTCATTACACCACTGCCAGACTCTTGCAGTAGTTTCCTGACTGGGTTCCCTACCTTGAGTCTGTAATTCATTCATCATACTGTGCAAATTGATCTTGTAATTCTTGTGCTTAAGATCCTTCTATGGTTCCATTACTTATGGAACATAATTCAGACTTTTTAGCCTAATCATAAAAAGAGACTGAGTTTATTTCACTTCTGCTTATCTTTCTAGCCACAGGTTAGTACTGTGGCCGTGGTAATTCTCAATAATGGACCTATTAAACGTCTAGTATTAAATGCTTTAACTTTCTGGTGAACCCTTCGCGATGAATTAATGGCTGAATGTAGCTTCATGTTCTGCTTGCCATTTCCAGAACTCATGTTCTCTCTTTGCTTTGGAGTTTTACACATGATTTCTCTTTCTCTCTGGATAACTTTGTCCTTGGCAAGCTCCCTCCTTTAAGACTTAGCTCAAATGTCACATCCTCCGTGGGACTTTCCCCACCCTCTCCTTCACCTTCCTCTACTTGACCTTGTTTGCTCCCATGATAGGCTGTACATACTCCTAGGTGTCATGTTTGGGCTGAATTTGAATCCTAGCCCTGTCAAATACAAGTTGGGAGATCATATGCAAGTTAATAAACCTCTCTGAGCCCCAGTTTCCTCATCTGTATAATGGAAATAATAATAGTTCAACCCTTCTAGGGTTGTAAGGTGCTTAGGACAGTGCCTGGCACATAGAAAGTACACAATAAATTTTAGGTTAAAAAGCACCAATCATATACCTTTTATTTCCCACCTCTTTTCAAAATATATACCATCTAAAGGATTAAAAATAAAGATATTAAGGCAAAGAAGAAATGAGAGAAGAAGAATAAAATTAAACCAGTGGCAAAGTTAGTATGTAGACCAGAAAGCGCTGCACAGTCGGTAAAGGTGGTTCCGTATTTGGCTCTGAGTTTCCCAGAGCAAAGAAATGTTCAACTTCCAGATTCATGGTATTTATAAACTCAAACACATGTTATTCAAGACAAGTGGGACTTTTTTTGACCATTAGATCTGAGAGAAATTTCTCTCACTGGTCTTCATAGTGGGGACACTGTAGTTTTGTGGGGGAAAAAATTCCCAATGATAAAGAGAGTGGTGAGTATTTTAAGATTGCTTCTTGTAATGCTTCTTGATCTGGGTTCAGGTAACACCAGTGAACATTCTCCAAAGGGCCAAGGCAGTGTGGTCTAGGTATAGAGCTCACTGGTTTGGCTTGGTTCAGGGATAAAGAGATGAATAAGTTGCAGGGACTCTGCTTATCCCTGGCACTTAGAAACCAGATGATTGGATTATTGAATAAATGAGTCCTTAAATAATTAATTCTCCATGAATACTGTTTCTTGTAACCAGGTTTTGGTAAGCATCAGGCAGCAGTGAGTTTAAATGTGCATTCTCTGCTGTGAATCGTGAGGGCACATATTCTGCATGTCTGATGAAGGTCAGATCCTGATGAAGTCAGGATTTGGACCTGAATGGACAGCCAGCATACATCTCTACAGAGGTCTTGTGGGCAAGACCAAGATTTTCTGGGATTGCTTTAAAAATGGAAAACAAAATGGCCAGTTAAGGCCCTAAAGATGGATTATAGAGAAAAGACGTAATGGTTGTAGCTAGAAATTTTTTATAGCTGTTATGATCAGTTGCATACTGTGACCATAAAAATTCTCAATATCAAACGATATAACTTCCTTGTGCACACTTCAAGATGAATTAATGCTGAACGTAGCCTTAGGGATCCCTTTGAGTTGACCTGCTGTGTAGAGTTGTTGCCTGTTATACTATATATCCTGTTATACATTTTGGAAAACAATTGCAAAAAGTATGATTTTTTATTTAGGATGGTTGCTGTTAAGTCATTCTTCTTTTTTTTTTTTTTTTTTTTTTTTTTTTTTTTTTTTTTTTTCCCCCAAAGCCCCAGTAGATAGTTGTATGTCATAGTTGCACATCCTTCTAGTTGCTGCATGTGGGACGCGGCCTCAGCATGGCTGGAGAAGTGGTGCGTCGGTGCGCGCCCGGGATCCGAACCCGGGCCGCCAGCAGCAGAGTGCGCGCACTTAACCGCTAAGCCACGGGGCCGGCCCTAAGTCATTCTTCTTGATAGACATTAGTTAGCGGCTGAGTTATTGTTTGACAACATTCCTAGTGCTGACCAAACTATCATATGGTTTAAGAAAAACTAAGTTAATTTGAGATAAGCAAGCATCTCATACCCTACAGTTATTATGTGTCTGTGTCTTTTTTCCCCCTACTAAAACTTTTATTTTCTTGTCTTAGTTCTTCTTTTACCCCTAGTACTGAGGGGGTGCTCAATAAAACTATAGTGAACTAATAAATGAATTGGTGGCAAGAGGGAGTTAGCATGGGGTGGGGCTTTGGTGATCCACAATGCTGTGATACTGTTTAATGCCCCTGATAAAGTGTACTAGACTGGAAGGGGTTTTAAGATTAGGAAACTTGATCTCTATGTGGTTTTGGAAAATTCTGAAGATTTCAATATGTCTGTTAATAAAGTTTGGGTTATGAGTTAGAGAATTCTTTCAGATCCTGTTATGAATAAGACCCGTTTGTTTGGATAGGGTTTATGTTGATTAAACCTTTATTGTATGATTCAGGGGCTTTTTGTGTGTATGTGTGTATGATGTATTTAAAGCAAAGAGATCCAGCATTTTGATGGTTTATGTAATTTGTTAGAATTACATTTGAATTAAAAAAACATTTAAATGCTTTCTGTAAACATGGGATATAGACATGAGTGAGATATGGCCCCTGCTGGGGAAAAGCTTATGTGTTAATGGGGAAGACAGACACAAAAAAATGAGCCAGTGTAATGACTTTGTGTATATACAAACGGTTTATAGTCACTCTCTCTACTGGTAGTGAGGGCAGTTTCCACAGACGTTTCATCTAGGCCCTGAAGGTTTGGAAGGTTAATTTTGGTGGTAGTCTGGCTGTTGAAATGATGGAGTAGAGGCTAGATGTAGACTAACTAATGATGAGGTTTAAGGTGAGCTGAATTCAGAACCTGAACCAGGGCAGTGTCAGGTGTTTTTAAAAGCTGGGGCTGTGATGTCAGTTTTCAGAGATTAAGCAGTTCTCAACTAGAGGTGATTTTGCCTCCCGGGGGGCATTTGGCAATGTCTGGAGACAGTTTCGGTTATAACTGGGGGCAGCTAGTGGGTCAAGTCCAGGAATGATGCTAATAAACACCTACAATATACAGGACAGCCTCCCACATCTAAGAATTATCCAGCTCAAATTGTCAATGATAGCGAGGTTGAGAAATCCTGGACTAGAATTTGAATGTCAGCTCTCCCAAATACTAGCTTTGGGCTCTGGGCCAAGTATTCACCCTCTGAACCTGTTTGCTCTTTTGCAAAATGCAGGTAATGGTAGTACCTACCTTGTAGGATTATTGTTTTCCTCTAATGGTACATAAACC